GCAGATATGAGAAATTCCAAGGTAGCATATGTAAAAGCAGAGAGCCCTGCCCAATTCAACAGCAGTTTCTCTTGCTACTTTTCTTGTCTAGGTCATTTTTTTTTTTTGGTCTCTGCACTTCAGTTGCCATATTTGCTTTTTCATTCATTATAAAGAGGCTTGGAACAAACGTAATAAAAGAGATTTAGATAATTTTAGTCTTATATTTCCTAGTTGTGTTGGAGAAAACATATTTGTTCCAGATAAATCTTTACAACTTAAGTCATTAACTATAGCCTTTTAATTGAACTATGCAGTGGTATGCTACTAAATGATTCACAACTTGCTCTTCAGGGAAAAATAAAAACAAAAATTTGCCAATTTCCACGGTGTAAATATTTATACCATGGTTGCTTTGAAGCAATGAATGTGGTACTACTGAACTTGGAGGTGGGAAGAGATGCAAGTTAGTTTGAGTTAGCTTTGAATATAGCTAACATACGTCATACATATCCCCCAACTTCACAAACAATACCCATAAATGGGACACTGCGGTATCATGAAAACGGTATGGAATTTGATGTGGAATAGTCATTCATTCATCCATCTATTCATTCAACAACAGTTAATGAGCCCATACTATTGACTAGCAGAGTGAACAAAACAAAGTTTCTATTCTCATTAAGCTGATATCCCTTATAGAGAGATAATAAAGTAATCAATATATAGCACAAAATAGAGAGAAATAAAGCAGAAAAGAATGGGAGAGATTTTGGCCAGGAATAGAATTATATATCAGGTGGTCAGGGAGGGCCCTTCAGGTAAGATTTTGAAATCTATTGACTCTTCTGCACAACTGTATCAATAGCATCTACATCACAGTGTTTGAGAATTGACTGTAATAATGGAGAGTATCAGCACAATGCCTCGCTCATAGTGGGCATCCAAAAAACATAACTGCATTTCTCTTTACCCTTTATAATATCTCAAGATCATCTTTGTAAATATCTCAAATGTACTGATCTCTAATAAAGGGATGGCTTCAGGACTCACTAAGGTGTGAATAGCTTTTACCCTTACACTAAATGACTCTGGAATGCTTTACTTACTGCCTTGTTGCTATTGCTTTTTCTGCTTTTCCCCTCACTTCTCCCTTTTCCAGGGTTTTATGTGCCACATCTTGTTACTACAGATGTACTCATCCTTAGCAACATGCAGCCTCCTTCAAGTTTACTGTGACCTGAGAAACCCGATGGTCGGCTCATTAGAAATGTACACTTAATAAAGGTACTCACTCCTGAGATATGTCAGTCTTCCTTACAACTAAAGTGCATGAGCTTTTTAAAAAGGATGATGTTAAATGAAATAATACATGTTTTATATGTAATTAATTGTATAAAATATCAATTCTATAATTACAGTATATATTATGTTATTAACTATAATCAATTATGTTATATATAATTACTATATGGGATCCTACATTTCCTTATTTGTAAAATGGGAAAAACAATGCTCTGTTCTCCTTCACATTTGGTGTTAAGATTAAATGAATCTATATCGCTACTGAAAATGCAAAATTGTACAACTTCTATGGAAGAGTACCTCTCAACAGCTAACAAAACTCCACATGCACTTACTCTCGGACTCTTGCAATCCCACTTTTAGGAATTTATCCTAAAGATACATTGCCATAAGAACCAAACAATATATGCACAAGGCTATTTATCTATGCTAGTAGATAACAGAAACTCTCATGATCCATCCCTCTCTTCTCTTTTTTTTTTTTTTTTTTTTGAGATGGAGTCTCATTCTGTTGCCTAGGCTGGAGGGCAATGGCACAATATCAGCTCACTGCAACCTCCACTTCCCAGCCTCCTGAACAGTTGATATTACAGGCATGCACTACCACACCTGGCTAATTTTTTTTATTTTTGGTAAAAAAGGAGTTTCACCAAGTTTGTCAGGCTGGTCTTGAACTCCTGACCTTGTGATCTGCCCACCTTGGGCTCCCAAAGTGCTGGGATTACAAGCATGAGCCACCGTGCCTAGCCTATCTCTCCCTTCTTATATAAAAGGTAGTATAATTGATATACTTTGCATCTTGTATTTTTGTTCACTCAGTATATCCTGGAAATCACTTCATCGCAGTTACTACAGAATTTCATCATTATTTTTTATGATTCTATGGTATTACATTGTGTTGATGGAAATACTATGACTTATTCAATCAATGTCCAATCTCTTTATATATTATCCCACTTAACGTGCACAAGAATCTATAAGATAGGTATTTTAAATCATTCCATTTTATAGATGAGGAAACCAAGGCACTAAGAGGTTAAACAACTTGTCCCAGGCATGCTTGGCTCCAGAGTGTACTTTGTCTGACAGTGCATAATTCTACCTGTTGGTGGAAGGGGCTACACATTTCTGAAACAATAAAGTCAGATCTAAGGAAATCTTGTAGAATTGGAAGTTCTACACAGTCTACCCTGAGGATGACCCCAAAGTCCAGTGTGTGGGGTCTGCAATGGGGATGAACTGGAAGGGTTTAAGGGAGGGATGGATCATGAAGGTAGACTGTGTAAAACTTCCAGCTCTAGGATGGGATTTGGTGGAAGTGAGAATTAGGGGCAGAGTGAGAAGAGGCTGGCACTATTTCCCTTATCTTTCCATGAGATTTTACAGCTGAGAATGTGAATCTGGATTCTACTCAGGGTCATAATTCTGAGGTATTTAGAACTTGCTTATATAAAAACAAGAGTATTAGATCCTACTGAATCCCAGCAACACACACACAAACACACACACACGCACACGCACACACACACTCACACCCCCCACACACACAAAGAAATTTTTAAAAAATGTACAAACAGAATTGCCATGGTAGAAGTCCTATCTTCAAGTTCTAAGGCTAAACTGAGTCAAGCGGGGTCTTTTTTGTTTTTTGAGACCAACTTTCACTCTTGTTGCCCAGGCTGGAGTACAATGACGGGATCTCAGTTCACTGCAACCTCTGCTTCCCAGGTTCAAGCGATTCTCTGCCTCATCCTCCAGAGTAGCTTGGATTACAGGAATACACCACCATGCCTGGCTAATTTTGTATTTTTAGTAAAAACGGGGTTTACCCATATTGGTCAGGCTGGTCTTGAACTCCTGACCTCAGGTGATCCCACCTCGGCCTCCCAAAGTGCTGGGATTACAGGTGTGAGCCACTGCGCCTGGCCAATAGGAGTATTTTCTTTATGCAGCTGACAATGACAGTGCTCTGGCTAGACCCTTTCAGATCTTTTTAAACCATTTTTGTGCACCTCTATCCTTTGCCTACATGTGCAGAAACAAAGTTCCTGAAATTTTACTTCCGAAATTCTCCTCCAGATCCCAGCCCCTAACTGTTGGCTGGCAGCTTCCTTGCCTAACTTAGGACATCTGTGATGTATGGCCCACCCTGAACAGTGAAGGCTCAGGTTGCCATCACTTTTTGCTGGACTTGGCCAGAAGTTGCACCTTGGTTTTCTCCCCTTCCTTGTCCCACTTCCCTTACTCCCCTCCCAGTCTCCCCTGGGAAAACTTTCTTAATCAGTCACCTATTCATGAAGCTTCTGATTCTGGGGAACTATCTAAAGCCATGCCACAAGGTAAGAGGCAGCGTGGCTGGAGGGGAAACTGAAATATGGTCATAAGGAAGTATTTCCTAGGTACATAAGTCCTAGAATTGGCTAATTCTAGCCTATCACTAAGGTAACTGCGGTGAGCCTGGGAAGAAACATCCAAGTCAATCTGCGGCAGTCAAGGAATGCTTCCTGGAGGAAGTAACAATTGAGCAAAGACTTGAAAGATCAATAGAGGTTTCCTTGTAAACATAGAGAAGTCATTCCAAGAAAGAAACATGGCATGGGGAAGGACAGAGAGGCAGGAAAAGTTATATGTTCTAGCAGTAGTGGCTCTAGGTTCTTGGAATCTCAAGTTATGAGGAAGATAAACTGCAGAAGCACACTTATTAGAAACTTGTGGGGTATGGAGTTGGGGTGAGGTGGGGAGGGAGACATGGAGGCTCCTAGGCTGACCTTTAGGTCTCTCTCTTGAGTTACTAGGTGCAGTTCATTGAGATGAGGACCACAGGGAAAGCCAGTATAGAATTGGAGATTAGTTCATTTTCAGATACCTTAAGTTTGACATGACTGTCATACAGCCAAGCGAGTATTCAATTCTGGGTGCATCCAATGTGTATGCTAAGCTTTTTAATTCTTACATAATTCAGCACTGTCTGACTTCCAAATTTAACATGTTTAAACAATGTGTTGCATGTTTTCTCTTTCCAGAGGCATTGGTGCAGTCAAGCCTTGGACAGAGAAGGTGGTGGATACAGTTTGGGTATCTGTCCCCTCCCAAATCTGATGTTGAATTGTAATCTTCAATGCTGGATGTGTGACTGGATCACGGACCTGGGTCCATCATGGCTTGGTGCTGCCTTCGCGATAGTGAGTGAATTCCCCGCAGATCTGGTTGTTTAAAAGTGTGTGACACTGCACCATCAATCTCTCTCTTGTGCCTGTTTCTGCCATGTCATGTGTCTGCTCCTACTTCATTTTCCGCCATTAGTAAAAGCTCCTCAGCCTCCTCAGAAGCCAAGCTATGTCAGTGCTATAATTTCTGTACAGCCTGCAGAACTGTGAGCCAATTAAATCTTTCTTTATAAATTACCTGGTCTCAGGTGTTTCTTTACGGCAATGCAAGAATGTTCTAATACACTGGTATAAAGTGAGAAGAGGAGTGGAGGTACGAAAGGGCCAAAGCTGAGTGCATGTCTATGGCAGTCACTGTGATGGAGAAGCACCTCCTGGAGGTGTGCAATGCACAGCTTACATCATCGTTCATTGAAGACCTTGGAAAAGAAAGGTGTGTGTGAGGGAATTAACAATGTAGGGAAAACGAAAGCCTCCTAACTGACTGGTATGGCCCCGTGAACAGATTCAACATCCCCCTTCCCAGGTAAGCTCTCCTTCCTTGCTTACCGTCTTCCTCAGTCTGGACCACCAGCTCCTCACTTTCCATTCGGCCCTCGGGGTTGGACAGCAGGAGTCGCAGCCGGATGGTCATGAAGGGGCGCAGGCCTCTCAGGGTGTAGTGGGAGGAGGTCTGGATGACCTCCTCAGCCTCGTACTGCTGCTGGTTGAACACATACTGGTACTGCACGGTGAGGTTGTAGCTGTGGCAGCGGGTCACTGCGTAGCCGAAGGGTTCCCACTGCAGGGTCAGCTGCCGGGCTCGGATGTCCACGATTTCCACGTTCTGTGGGCCATGCACCGGATCTGCAAGACACACAGGCAAGAAAAAAGGGCTCTGAGGAGACCACCAGGAAGCTGGGGCATATGTTCCGCTAAAACAGGGGAGCACAGCTTTTCCAAACCTATCTCCACCATTCAGTCACTGCCATCATGATTTTGGCCACATGCAGTATAATTTAGAGAACACTTTTCTTTAAATCAGTCTCCTTTGTCTTATTTAAATACATGCATCTAATAGAAAACCTCATAAATAAATGTTAACCATAAAAATAAATGTGAAATTGTTAAATTCTCAAGAGTGTATCAGAGCGCCACTGAAAATCTTGATACCACGAACAGCACACTCCCCATTTCTGGGATATGCTTATTTAGACGGCTGCTGAGAGCTGACCTGCCTCCTTATACTGAATTCAGCCACAGCCTGTCCCCTTTGAAGGTCAGCCTCTCCTCTTCAGCCAAGAACATCCAGATGCACAAGCTGGAAACTGAGTCACAGCTTCAACCTGCAACACCCAGTTTATCCATCCAGTGATCATGACCCGCTGACTCTGCCTTGGGACCTGCGCTCCTTTCCTTGAGTACACAGTTCATCATTTCCCAACCTCTCACAACAGTCCTCCACCCCTCTTGTCTCCTCTCCACTTTCTCCCTAAGCGGCCCCTCTGGGAACATCATTCTGAAAGCCAATCTGAGCATGCCTTCTCACTCTAATGCTGTCTTCCACTCCACGCTTCCTACTGTTCCTGGTCGCAGGTCACCATGCATAACATTGTCTATGTCTCATTTCATTAGGAATATTCTGTTTATACTTTATGCACATTAAATAGATTTTTCATATACAAGACAGGTTATAACAAACAAGATGTCTTTCAAAAATCCTCACGTATAAAGCTCAGTTTATGTTGAGGTTTAGGCATTCGTTTCTTGGGGGTGGTTTGTTTTTTTGAGATGGGAGTCTGACTCTGTCTCCTAGGCTGCAGTCCAGTGGCATGATCAGAGCTCATCCCAACCTCAAACTCCTAAGTTCAAGCAATCATGATCCTCTAGCCTCAGCCTCACAAGTAGGTGGCCCTACACCATGCTTGGCTAATTTTTTTTTTTTTTTCAGATATGGGGTCTCTCTATGTTGCCCAGGCTGGTCTCAAACTCCTGGGCTCAAGCGATCCTCCTGCCTTGGCCTCCCAAAGTGATGGGATTGCAGGCATCATCCACCATGCCTGGCTCTGGGGTCAGGCATTTGTTATGGTAGAAACATAACATGTCATGTGATGGACACCCCATAAATTCTTGTGTCAGATTTTCTTCTCAGGGAGGAGCTAAGCACAGGTTAGAGATTAAATCAGTACTTCTCCCCATACCTATTGGACTACAGAATTATGTGTCCTCTTTGGGTCCACTTTTTATTTCATTTGTAAAATGATGATAATAGTAGCTAAGCTCATTGCAGGGGAAGGGGAAGTTAGATGAGACACTTGTACAGCAGTTAGAATTAGAACTTAATAAGCACTCTTCATATAACTGGGGTGTGTTTGTTTTGCAGTAATAGTAATAATATATATGTAATAGTAATAATAGTGTTCCACATGCTGTGTCTACCCTGAATGCCTTGTGAGTGGCAGTGCTGGGAGCACCCTTATGCAAAATGATGGACTAGAGTTCCCTCTGCTCCAATCCCCTCAGAGCATTTAGGGGTAAGGCTACCTCTGCGCAAATGCAGCAGTTAGAAAAAGGGAGCGCTACTGGTGCTAGCTGATCTGTCCCTATGGGGAAAATGTCCTATAACTTGTGTTAGAGTCTTAGCAAGGAACATAGTTCACAGGAATGTCAGGACACCTGGTGAGCCAGCACAGAGCTGGCCACGTGGCTGCAGGAGAGAGGGTGTTGAGGATAGTGGGCAGCCCTGGTCCCTGATCTGCTGATGAATTCATGGTCAAGCTTACAGCCGAATTACTCATGCTCACAGGTCCTTTGCGCAAAGCAGAGCCAGCATCCCAAAATCAAATGGGCGACTTTGAGGATGTGACACTGAACAAGCTGTTGCTGAGGGCCTGCTGTGGAATGGAAGGTGAAATGTGTTCCCCGTGGTTGGGGATTATGATTGGGTAAGGTTGCAACTGCTGGCTCAACATCTCGAAGTTGTACAGACTGCACTGAGAACAGGTGCACAAGCACACAGACAGCGAGAAACTGCTTGCCTGGGAAGCCCTGAGCACCCCCAGCAGCCTAGCCCTGCTGGAGCCTCTCCACTTGTCCAGGTGCCAGAACTCTGCTGGCAGGGAGCCACTGCCCCCTGCTCAGGGCCTCTTCAGCACTCCTCCCCTGGTTGTGCCCTCCAAACTGATGCCAAGCCCCAATACAACACTCACCCACATGGCACTCTTGCCTCCCTCCTGAGACAGCGAGAACAGGAACACTGAAGAGCCATTTAAGCCTAAGGCTAAGACCATATTTTATTGACCATCTTAAAATGTACCAAATCCCAAATTAAATAATTTTTGAGATCTCCATTATGCTTTTAACCCACAAACAAAACTACAAAAACAAAATACCATTGAGGGAGCCACAGCCACAAATGCTGGGTTCTATCTTCTGAACCATCTTATGACCCTGGGAGGGAAGGATGGCCCAAATCAACATCACAGATGAACAACCTGAGGTCCGGAAGGGTACAGGAATTTCTAGAGTAGCAAGTCCAGCAAGTGACAAAGTTGCGGTTTTGAACTTGTGTCTGCCTGACCCCACAGGTAGTGTGCAATGTAAGAAAAGTCTCCGCAAATTATCAGTCGCACTCTCTATTTTGTAAATCTCACTACCTGGGAGGAAGGCATCACTAGCTCTGTCCGAGAGGAAACTCAAGCTCTTTGAGACAAAATGACTGGTCTAAAGTCACAGAGTGAGTGGTATAGCCAAGATCTGAGGTCTGCCAGAGTGGGAAACATCTGTGCTTTCTCCGCACCTTGACGCCACCGGAGACTGAGACCAGGGAAAGAACATACACGTGAGGCATGTTGCCTTCATCAGGAGTCTGGAAAGGCTTGACGAGAACATTGTGAGAAAGTCAAAATACTATAAGGCAATAATGACTTGGGTCTCAGGAGCCTAGGACCTGCGGGAGAGGGTGATGCAGTGACACAAACACATTTAGTGCTAAGGTGACCGCTGGCCTTTTGACCCCTGGTCTCCGTTCTCCCTGGAGTTCACCTCTAGAGGTGTGCACACAAACACCTTTCTGCTCCTCTTAAAGGAGTAACAGGCAGGAACATCATGATCGTGCCACACAGCAAAGAGCCTCTCCCAGGGCAGGAAGGTCGGGATACAGGAAAAGCCACTTGTTCCTTCTTGATCATGTGTGACTGTCATGACAGGCTCCAGGCACAGTGGTGCTGATTGGAGCGTGGCTTGAAGCCAGACTCTGGTGCTCATTAGCTGTGTGACCTTGGGCAAGGGCACTTCATCGCTGAGCCTCCACCTCCTCATCTGTAAAGTGGAAATTATTACACTAGTCTCAGAAGGCTGTTAATGAGCGTAAAATGAACTGTAGAGAGAGAAAATTGCCTTTGCCTAACAGTAGGTATTCCTCCTAGGGAGAATTGCCTTTCTTGGAGAAATGCCTTCTGAAGCTTGTTTGGGGTCGAAGTTGCATCCTTGGGACCTCAGTGTCACTTCCTCTGAGACTCCAGTGGAAGAGAAAAATAAGCCCACTGGGGGCTTGGACAGAATAAGAGAGGTGTGAGGGTGAACAAACGGCAGAATTTTGGGTGAAGCCCAAGATGATCGTTCCCCAAGTGATTTTCACATCTCCAGCAAGGCCCTCAAAATACAACAAAGATGTTTGCTGTGCCTGGGTATTCCCGTGGGTTCTAGAAAGGACTGAGGTCTGCATGCCTCGGGCCTAATATAAGATACCACGTGGGAACACAAGGACCAGAGGCAAAGGAACCTTGGAACATTTGCTCGTGTGTATTACTGAAATCTTGGGAGATGATTTTGGGAGTCCTAACAGCTATGAAAATTCAGAGACTGAAGGAAATCTCAGTTCGTATTCAAAGGCAAGAAGGACTCTGGTGAACCTAGAGATTCATTACCTGCAGGTGAAAGCATTTTGTAAATCTGAGAACTCCCATTCGGGAAAGAGAAAGACAATGGGTATTAAACAGCAGCTCTGGGCTAGGTGCTACCCTTTGCACTTGTGTCCTGAAAGCAATCCTATGGTGCAGGAAGTTGAGACTCAGCGAAGGGATGTAACTTACCTAGGGCCACGTGGCTGAGCCCCCATTCTCTGGGGGGCAGTTCCATGAATGGGTCAGTCACACACGTAAGCACGCAAGCCTGTCCCGAAGATGTGCAAAATCACAAATGGGTCTGGGCTAAGAATACAAATTTTAGCCTGTAGCTCCTTCCCCATTCCCCTTTCTCCCAACCACTTGCCCCAAAACCAGGGGCCTCACATATGTGTCTGTGGCGACCTCAGTCCTCAGGCGCGAGTTCTGTCCACTTCCCTCAAACATCCAGCCTTTGGCCATGGCCCTTTGCACTGTGGTCCGACATACTCAGCATGTGTCACACTGTCCAGGAATTGCTTGTTCATGTGTTTGCCTCCCCTCCCAGCAACGGACCATGCTCTGTTTGTCAGTAACCTCAGTACATGGCACAGGGTCTGTTGAGGGGCAGTTCCTGTGAGATGAACAGATGGTGACCTGTTCTTGGGAGCTGAACTAAGACTCCCTGACTCCACAGTCCTTGTTCTGTCCCCTTCAGTGTGTCAGCAGGGTCTTTAAGGGTAATTTTTTTTTTTTTTTTTTTTGCATTCAAGCAAGAGCATATCCTAAAATCCGATACAATGGAAACTAGTTTTTAGAATGTGATGGAAGCATTCATGCTTTCAGTCTGACCCCTCTAAACCTCATCTGCCAAACCCAGCTTCTGCTGGGTAATTGCCTGCAGCATGGAGAATCTGGGGTTTACATTCGCGTTGGTGCAAACAAGTTGAAAATTGCTGAGAAAGCCTTGTGTGGGCAGTGGAG